CTATAGGGTGCCTTTTCTGTGTTTGCCATCACCTTTTTTGTGCTCTGATCCATCTTGTCTCTGTGTTGCAGAGTAAGGCTGTTGGTGAACAGACAGACAGAGGAGGCAGTAGCAGTGAAGGTGATCGACACCTCTCAGGCCAAAGAGTGTGCTGAAAATGTCAAGAAGGAAGTCTGCATCCATAAGGTAGGTGATTGACTTTAAGAACAGTTAGTGGAATGCCATTAGGTTTTGAAGGATAATAAAAAGTATTAAAGGTCTCCAAAACAGATCATACACATGAAAAAGTGGATTTTGCATAATAGGTGCCCATTAACATTGGCATTAGTGGCTCTTTTCGAGTTTGCTGAAACATAAGGGATTTGCATTTGCTATTTGAAGACATATGATGTTAAGAAAGATAAAATTACCTTCTGTTCATTACATAGAATTTAAACCGGAGCTAATTTCGAAGCTCAAATGTGGATTTGTAATCGTTTTTTTGTTTCAATTTAGTGCAATTATAAACAATGTATAATTCATATATTTACATGTTATTTGCACACGTTACGCTCTTGAGTGCTGCAGGAATACATGAGTTAGCAATTCGCACTACTTGTTTTCTGTCTCGAAGTCAGTGTTTTTTTTGTCATCCCTGCAGCACCATATATACCCTTTCACCGTTGTTAACATAAACTAAATGTGTCCCAGTTTATTTCGTGTTGCAAGTACTCGAATGACTTCAGCTGACAGGAAGTAGTTGACCCACGTTGTTGTCTAGCCAGGCAATTCTGTGGAAACGGAAAAAAGCTGCAACCTTATAAACTGTTTTTTTTTTTTTTTTAAAGAGAGAAATGTCTTAATGTCAGTAAGTTGCATTTGTTAATGTTTTGGTAGATGCTCGACCACGCCAACATCGTACGTTTTTTTGGCCATCGGAAGGAAGGCACGACCATGTATCTCTTCCTGGATTACTGCACCGGAGGAGAGCTGTTCGACCGCATCGGTGAGACTGAAATGGTTTTAACACGCTGCTACACAGTTACAGTTAATAGTCAAGTTAAAGTCACCAATATACGACGTTGTGTTTAATCATCTCTCTTTTAAATGTGACAATTGTCATGCCAAGAGTTGAAAGTATTCAGTATTAGACCCAAAATGTAACATTTCAAACCTTTACTGGGTTTAATTTACATGTATAATGATTATAAAAATACGACAAATAGTCTCACTTAATAAAATAAGGATATGCATTTTAGAAGGGAATTGCGATGAAATGGCACTTTTTAATTCATCCTAAGCCTGTTGTAACAGCTAATTCTTATTATTGTTTTTTTATGTATTATTTGTCTCTTTTAAATGTATTCATTTTAATTAATTTTATTTGAAATTCACAGCTGGATGAAAACATTTACACGTCGGTTTTGTCCTCTGTGTTCTGCCCTCCAAATAAAAGTGTATTGCATAGCCCAATAGGAATAACTACATACAGTATTGGCAGTGTATGACTCGATATCTGCCCGATCGTGATTGTGGTCAATCTTTCAGGGTCTTACAATGTTTACTTCCTTTTTATTTTAGAGCCTGATGTTGGGATGGCGGAGGAAGATGCTCATAGGTTTTTCCAGCAGCTAGTAGCGGCCGTGGTGAGTGCATACAAATCTGTGTGTGGATATGACCTGTTGACCGTGATATGACCGTTTTAAACTCTCATGATTTTGCGCACATTTTCAGCATTACCTCCACGGATGTGGGATCACCCACAGAGACATAAAGCCAGAGAACATTTTGCTGGATGACAAAGGTGAGACTTGTGTTAATTTGTAGAAAAAAATGACTTTGATTTGCATTTATAAGAAACATTATCTGCTGTTCTCCTGACCCTTTTAGATAACCTGAAGCTGACGGACTTTGGGCTGGCCACCATGTTTCGTTTCAAAGGACGAGAGCGTCTTCTGAGTCGACTCTGTGGGACTCTTCCTTACGTGGCTCCGGAGCTTCTCGGCCAGAAAGAGTACAAAGCTCAGCCTGCAGATGTCTGGGCTTGTGGGATTGTCCTCACTGCTATGCTAGCTGGAGGTAATTGACTAAAATGAATTTGACTAAATAATGATAAATGTACTAAAAAAAACACGAAAGTAAAGGTTTAACTATTAAATAATGTATTAAATGAATAGCTCCAACACATGCTTATGCAATAGTTAGGCTGTGTGGTGAAACTTTTTGGTCACCGTCTCGTTTTTCAGAGCTGCCGTGGGACCAGCCCACTGAGAGCTGTCAAGAGTATTCAGACTGGCTTCAAAAGAAAACCTACCTTCCTCCTTGGAAGAAAATAAAACCAATGCCTCTTAGTAAGTGCCAAAGTAGAAGTTTAAATATATAAATAGTTTTAAAAAGCTGTATCTATTTCACATTCAGAATCTCTCTTCAGGTTTGTTGTCCAAGTTACTGCTGGCGGGTCCAGATGCTCGCATCACCATCGCAGACATAAAGAAAGACCGCTGGTTTACTCAAGGCAAGTCTCAATATCAGTATAATGGAGTAAATTCAACTTTTATTTTAACGTTCGCTGGACTGATGTCTGTCTGTGTATCTCTGCAGGTGTGAAGCAAACACCTCTGGGCTCAGGAGGAAACAAACACCATCGATCAGATGCGGGACGCGTATCCCGGACCAACAGGTCAGAGCTTTGTGTTTCCCTTATTTCAACTCAAAAGGGTGTATTTATTTTTGTACCTGTAATCTTAAACCCACTCTTCTCCCCACGCAGTGATGACAGGATGCAGTTTTCCAGCTCTCAGCCTGATTTTGCAGCAGAAGGCTGGGAAGCCATGTTGATAATCGGCCAAAGCAACGACCAGGTCAGCTTCTCTCAGCCGACCAAACCCGAGCACATGTTGCTGGGGAGCCAGCTGATGGGCACACCGGGAGCCAGTCAGGTAATTCAGTTTAACCCCAATTAGTAATTTATTAATGTGAAGTGTCTCACATTGTATGTTTTTATCCTGTTCTTCTATACAAAGCAAATGTATGTTTTATGAAATGCAGCCTTCAAATACTGCATTGACGAATTAATGCTAACTTGCATTTCCATTCTGTTTGCAGTCCTCTTGGCAGAGATTAGTGCGGAGAATGACACGTTTCTTCACCACTGTGAATGCCGACGTCTCCTTATCTGCCCTGAAAGACGCTTGTGACAGCCTGTCACTTGTCTTCAAACTCACCTGCAGCAAACAGGTACATATGAGTTTAAACTTTACAGAGGTGAAATACAACTGCTGCAGCGCCCAGCCAGGCTACCAGTTTACAGCCATAATGCAGTAGAGTTTAATAAACCCCTCTTTGCCTTTCAGGTTACGGTGAGCACGCTGGACAAACGTAATAACAAACTCATCTTCAAAGTCCACTTGTTGGAGATGAATCGGAAAGTGCTGCTGGACTTCAGACTGTCTAAGGTAAGTTTTAGCATTTCAACACTTTTATACAGTGTACTTAAGATGAACAAAATAGTAGCAGTAGAGATATATGGAAGTGAAGAACCAACATCTTGTTTTGTGAGAAAAGCAACATTTTTCTTGTGAATTGTTACCAATATCCAATCGTTTATTTTGCTAATTGTGTGAGTGTGAGTTTTATTTATATGTTGATGTGTGTTTGTGTTTCCAGGGTGACGGTCTGGAGTTCAAGCGTCTCTTTGTGAAAATAAAACAGAAGCTCGGAGACATCATCAGCACTCAGAAGATCTTACCCCCCCTCACATGAACAACCTCTACAGATTCACACTGCTATGGACATATGGAGGGACAACATGTATATATTTAGCTGTTCTATTGATATTTTATTTGTGTCTGTTCGCTTCAAGTGTATGTGTGTGTGTGTGTTTTTTAGCGCCTGTGTTCTTTTCTTCAAGGAGTTCGTTGTTGTTTTTAGGGTTGGAACGTAAAGATTGTCAAAGGGGGACAGTGAGATAGAAGCATGTTTGTTATGTGTTCTCATTATGTTTGACATGATACAGTCAAAAGTGTTGAATAAATTATTAAAAGAAAAACATTGTTCGCTGAATGTTTCATGATATATGATGCACATAATAAAAAAAAACCTTACTAAAAAAAAAAAAGAAAATGTAAAAATAATTTGAAATTATTCTAATGTTCCATGTGCATGGATATATATGTGTGTGTGTATATATATATATATATATATATATATATATATATATATATATATATATATATATATATGTATATATATATATGTGTATATATATATGTGTGTATATATATATGTGTATATATATATGTGTATGTATATATATGTGTATATATATATATGTGTATATATATATATGTGTATATATATATATATATATGTATATATATGTGTATATATGTATATATATGTGTATATATATATATATATATGTATGTATATATATATATATATGTATATGTATATATATACATATATATACATATATGTATATATATATATATACATATATGTGTATATATATATATACATATATGTATATATATATATGTATATGTATATATATGTGTATATATACAGTATATATATATATGTATATATATATATATATGCCTCTGTATGAAAGAGGACATGGTCTACTTTTCAGCTACATATGTGTATGTTGTGTCTCTACTGTGACATGTTTACATGCTTTAATGTTCAAAAAGCTCTTTATTTTTCTCATACTGCCTGTGCTGCAGCAGCTCTTTTCACCCTCTGTCTGAAACCAGAGCCCAGTCTGCTCTGATTGGTAAGCTGGCCGGCTCTGTTGTGATTGGTCAACAGCTTAGAGATGTCCCGTAGCCTATCACGTTGGAGCGCTAGCCAATAGAAAGGTGAGTGTTACATAGTGATGTCAGTGTCACAGGAGAAACTCCCTCTGGAAGGAACTTTGGGATTTTAGCCTTTAAAGACCGTTTACATGCACCAAAACCTATATAACACACTTTAAATTGTAACATTAAAAAAACATTCCAGTTGGCTGACCAGTATACATTCATATAGTTTAATTTAAAAATCAATGCATCGTTATGTCCATGCTGAATCACTGAGTGATATTAGGAGAACTGTTGTAGTTAAGTTGAGATGTTAGTCACAGGCTGTACATACATACATTACAAACTGTCAACAAAAAACTATCCATTCCAGGTTAAATTACAATCGAGTGATTTCCAGGTACGATTATGAGCCCGTAGCTTTGACGGTGATGGTGACGCTGACGGGCTCATTGTCATCTCCAGGGGGGGGGGAAGGGGCTTTGCTGGGGGCGAGGGGTGAAGCTGCGCGGGGTAAAGGCATGGTGGGACCTGCAAAACACCAACACAAAGGTTTATCATCAGGATTTAAATACTTTGAAACATGTGCAATCAACAAAGATTTATATTTTATTAGCAAAGATGGCTTTCAATCAAATTCATGTGTCATACCAGCAACAGAAAGATAAAGAAACCCAGATAGTACACATAATAACAATAAAAGTTAAATAAAATAAGAATAAACATGTATTAGCAGTATTAATAGAAATAACAAAAATAATGTGAGTTAAACTAGGATCTGGTGAATGTTCATATCGACAGATGTGAACAGAACAGATATGTTAATTATATATACAATTAAGGTGCATTAAGTAAGATTCTATATGAAATAGGGTTGGGTGATAGGGATTACATCAAATATCTCTATCAATATTGTTATGATATTTTGAGGGTTTACTATCGGTGCCTTAAAACAATATTTTTTGAGATTTTTGATAATAATCAGCAATGTGGGTATCCTTAAATGGTTAAAGACAAAATAAAACGTAATTAATGAAATAACTTTACTGTAATGCAGCCTTTAAGACCAGTAAAGACACATTTTGGGATATCCAAAGTCTACGATCATATATAGTTTAATATATTCACAATATTGATATATATCAATAACATGTTTGTCTAGGCCACTGGAGGGGCGTGTGTGTGTGTGTGTGTGTGTGTGTGTGTGTGTGTGTGTGTGTGTGTGTGTGTGTGGGTGTGTGTGGTGTGTGTGTGTGTGTGTGTGTGTGTGTGTGTGTGTGTGTGTGTGTGGTATGTGGAGCAGGAGGGGAAAATAACTTCCCATGCAGTTTGCAAAACACCGGCAGGTAGCGTTTTATTATATAACGTTTATGGTTGTTATTATAGGAAAGACAACACCAGCATCCAGTCGGACCAAAGGGACCTTTGCAGGTAGGTTTACATTCTGTCTAATGTGAGCAGCAGAGCAGCTCGTTTGCTAACTAGCTTGAAAACTGACATTAGCATTGCACATTTCCCTCCTGAATGTGGAGCATGACGATACGTGTGTTTGTTTTTAAGTTGAGTAAGTAGACTTAAGCAGGAAAGCTAATGTGGTGTTGGTGTGTTAATAGTAGAGCTGTCTTTATATAGCACTTTCCATACAGCAGGTACAGCTCAAAGTGCTTCACAAATTGGCAAACATCACAAGAGGCTGCTGTCTAGCTCTGTGTGACTGTATGCTCTGCCTATGGTAAAACTGCTTTGTGCATGATTTGATCACACAATTGGTTAAAGTTCATCAACATAGAAGAGAGCTAAACTACATGTGTGCATTATTTGAAATAATTGGTTAAAATCTGTAGAGGACAGCTAATACATAAGTAAAGTAAGTACATTTTTACGGTTATTGCAAAGACAGGAAGGCAACATGATGATACCACAGAAAAATATGGGTTTTAAGTTTCACAAAACATGTCCAGAATTAAAGACACCAGAAAAGCAGTGTAGTAACCTTGAAATGTACTGTAAATAGTACCAGGTTAAAGTGATTAAGGGTTTCTTCTCACCTAGGTTAGATGGTCCACCAATCTCTTCGATATCTCCCTCCGACCCGCGTACCACTTCATCCTCTGGGAAGTTAATGTTTTCCCTTGACTGGCTGTGCTGCCTACAAATACCAAAATTATTACTTTTTGAATGGCAATTCTGGACAAATTAGTTATCAACATCATTACAAACTGTACATTTTTCATTGCTGCTTGACAGAAATACAGATACTCACGAACCAAACAGCAAGTCATGTAGTCCTGGGAGAAGAAACACAGACCATTAATGCAACATAATGGGACAGTGACTCTGTTTTTAATTCAATTCATCATCATGTTAGTGCTTGTGTTTGTGACTCACGAGGATTGTTGTTGCGGTTGCGGATTATGAACACAAGCAGCAGCACTGTGATCAAGGCTGCAATGAACATCCCGCCTATAGCTGCTCCAATCACAGCAGGGTAAGCATTGTAGCTCGGCTCCGCTGCAACACAATACAGTTACACATTGCAAAATAATAAACCTCTGACAAAACACACACAGTTCCTCTACCTGATAAATATCTAACATTGTCCTGTTGTTATGTTTTAACTCCCTTTAGTGATTCTCAACCCATGTCAGCGTTTTTGTACAGCATCGTTTGGAATTTTTCCTCTTACAAATAAAAGGTTAAATCAATAAGATACAAAATGAACCCTTTTTGCTGCTGCAGCCGTATTTGGTTTGGTATGACCAGTAGCTTATGATGGTTAATGTTAGCACATTTTAGGTAGATTTTGATTGCTTTTTGTTAACCACTTACTGTTATCCCCTGTAACTTAAGGACAACTTGAACGTTCAGAAGAAGTTTTATAGGCTTGCTTTAAAGTCAACCCTGTTGAGCTCAGTTCAGGTTTAGATAACCTTATACATTAACCTGACAGGGGTTACAAACCACTGACCTATTCTACACTGACATACAAGCCTATCAACTTCCTAAAGAATTACCTGGCTAGGTCATAACCTTTTATACACTCACACAAAGACTTTACAAGGAGAAGCACACAGAGGAAACACAAGAAGCAGGGCAGGGAAGGAGGTAAACAGGAAGTGAGTGGAAGGTGTTGTTAGGTGTGTGATATTGTTTGTATGTTTTTTTAGTTTGTGTATGAGTCTTTCACCTAAGTGGATAACAAAAAAGAGAGAAACAAAATGTTAGACTGTCATCAAAGTCATCGTAACAAAAAAAATAACAGCAGAACACCGGTTTCAAATATGTTTGAATAATCAGCTAACTCACCTGTCATCTTTAAAAAAAACATCACTTTATTACTTGTTTCTCCTGCCTTTGCCTTTAACACATCCCTAACTCAAACTCCTAACTTTGCTCAGTTTTCTGCCAAAATGTCCCTAATCCCGTCTTTTTCCTGTTCACTTACTATACCTGGGGTCTTTGCTGCAGAAGGGTGTCCGATGGTGCGGTGGTTGACAGGTGTGATGCGGAACTGGTAGGTAACGGTCGGTGTCAGTCGCCCGACTGTGTGACTCCTGACTTCTGGGTCCTGGATGATGTTCTGGTACCAGACTGGTGGGCCGATCCTCTCCTCTGCCTCCTTCTTTGAATCGTTGTTGCTGCCTCTCCTTCCTGGTCTCTCTGACACCCATACGTGCTGCAGGATAAAACCTGTCCAACCTCCTGGTTCTTCGTCCTCCAGCTGCCACTCCAGCTCCACCTCGTTACGCTGTTTGCTGTTGTACATCACGCTGACCAGGGTCACATTGGGTGGCATAGGGTGCCCTGATTAAGAGACAAAACACAACCAAAAAATACTATGTAAACTACCGTATGACCACAAGTTAATCTTTAACAGTTAAAGGTAACATTTTGGTTTTGTACACAATGCTTGCTGTTGTGCCTGGTTTTTTAGTATTGTTGTTCCTGTCACTGAGTAGGTGATTCAAGTCAGTTGTTTGCAAATGTTATTTTGATCCAAATAACTCCCCTCATCAGTAGTTCACTGGCTAAAGGCCTTGCTTTAGTTGAGCGAGTGGTAGGCAGTCGAGCTCTCGTAAGCACCGCAAGGTAAATGTGTACCTCTCATTTTCGAAAGTCTCGAGGTAGGCAATAGCAACGAACATGTTGTTTATAATGTATCGAAATGTGCTGTACATTATATGGTAGGACTTTTGTCCAACTTAATTCACCGTTCTTTAGTTAACAAGATAGGTAGCTAACATTCATTGAATGGGACTACGTGCTGTTGGAGCTTCAGTGAAGCCCTAAACATCACTGGAACAGGGCTTTTCATAATGAACAGATTCTAGTGATTAATTACACTGAAAAGAGCTGCCTAGCCCAGGGTTTCTGGTCTTTATGCTAAGCTAACAGCTAGATATACCCCTTTCCTGTAAAGACTTCAAAGACATCAATCTTCTTATTTAGCACTTACTAAAAAGCAATTATACTTCCCAAAATGTCAAACTATTCCTTCAGAAAGCAATGGCTGTAAGACATCAGATGTAGGTTAAAAATAAAACATACTTTTAACCACTAAAGTGACGTTGATATCCGTTCCTCCCACCGCGTTGGAGGTGGTGCACCTGTACTCGCCGCTGTCTTGAGTCTGTTTCGTGTCCCTCACAGTCAGATTGGCCCATGCAGATGTTCGCAGCAGAGCATACTTGGAGGTGTCTCGGACATCCACACCCTGATTGTTGAACCAGGTGATTTCACTGACAGGAAGGTAGTTGTCTCTGAGGTTGCAGATGAGCTGAACATCGCTCCCTTCGTAAACAGAAACAACTCTGCTCCGCGTCAGCAATTGAGGAGCCTCTACAGGTGACAAGTGAATACAAACATTAATGAATAAACCATATCACCTGTTATAAAGCATAATAGTGTTGCTGACAATGTGCACTGACCCAGTGTGAGCCTGCAGGTTTTGGTTTGGACCAGAAGTGGATGCTTAGCGTAGCAGGTGTAGGGTTTCCCGTTGCGGGCAGTGCCGTAGCGAAGGATCAAGATGTTGGAGTTTTCCTGACCGCCTTTGCCCTGTTCGCCCGGGCCTTCCCACCACACCAAGGCTTTTGGGGCGGCTCCATCCCAGGAGCAGGACAGCATCAGATACTGTTTGCTGTTTGTCACATATGCAAAGCACACCGGCTCTGTAGTGGGAATATCTGGTTGAGGAGGAGGAGGAGAATGTAAAGTGAGATGTGAGAGGTTTGGAGAACAGTGAACACACTTATCTTTGTTTTTCTTACATGTGCGTGTGCTGCATTCTGTTGGTTGTGTGAGTGCCAGGTGGGAGCCCATGCAAGTAAACAAGCTGTTGTTGGAAGCCAGGCCTTCAGGCGGCAGCAAGATGGCAGTGTTGGTTAGTGGATTTGTTTGCTGCTCAGTGTCGACCTCGTTTTGTCCCAACTGTTTCAGCTGTCCGGTCCAGTGGAGGGATGGAGAGGGAAATCCCCCGGGCCAGGAGCAGAGCAGCCTCAGAGAGGTGTGATTCAGAGCCGGCTCCACAGAGCAGGACGGGGAGCCATCGGGGGGGTCTGCGGGGATAAGATAGAGAGCGTAACAAGGCAAAGTGTGCGCCGGGCTACAGTTTTCAGGGTGTTGGGTATGAATCATCTCTTTTTGGGTAACACTTTCTAATGTGAAAGATGTGTGTGTAAAGGGAATGTTCTCCATCGCTCTTGGGTGATGCATTGTTTTGTGTCAGACTCATGATTTGGGTATCTAGCAGAAACGTTTTTAACTCAGCAACAGAAAGCAATAGAGCAGAATGACAATAATTGGCCTTCTAGCCAATCAGCCATTGCTGTGACATCACAGTGAGGTACCTGCCAGAGAGTCCCATCATCTTCCCAGAAGGCCGAACAGAAGATTGGGTCTGCAGCACTTCCAAACTCTGCTTTGTGTGTTTGTGTGTAAGTGTCTGAATGCGCGTGGATTTACACGTTTTTGTGTCTGTTTTGAAGTATAAGGAGCTTGAGATATGAGAGGGAATGAATTGAATGAAAGCATGGATGTTTAAAACAGAGGAAGGAAAGGAGGTTTTTGCGTTACACTGAAAACAGGAAAGTTTTGTTGAAGGTGAAATGATTAGAGAGTTATGTTTGAGTAGGTGATTCAGTGTTAATGAAAATGAAAACCAAAGGCAATTAAGATCCTGGGTTTGTGTTCTCTTAGTCTCGTACTATAAATGTCAAATCCTAAATATCATCTCAGTCTTTTACACTCCTTGCCATTTGAAGCACCAAACATGAAGAACACAGGTTAGGATTGAGTGGAGAGGTTCAGAGGAGCAGGAGGGCTGATGGCATGGAGAGGTCAGAGGTCACACTCACAGTAGACAGTCAGGCTGATGGTTTTTCTGGAGCGGGTGTTGAGGTAAGTGTTCTGTGCCAAGCAGGCGTAGTCACCAGTGTGCATGCGGAGGATCTTGGTGATGGTTAACTGCGGCCCGGTGTAGATCTGGGAGTTGTTGTAGAACCAGACGTACTGACTGGCCGGGTTGGACTGGGCTTGACACAGCAGAGAAACAGTCTCTCTCTCCAGGGCCGAATACCCCCGCTCCGTTATGCTGTACGGAGTCACGTCTATCTGAGGGATGTCCGGGCCAACTGAGCAGAAATAAGATGAACTCATTAAGATATGAATGACATGTTATGAATGCAGCTGTGAGGACACACATCATTTATAAAGTCTGTCACAACAGTTCAGTACTCAAACCAACAAAAGAGCTTCTTTTTAAAAAGTCCTCAATATCATTAACACCCTTTCCATGAATGAAATCCCTCTCATAAAAAGTGAGTTGCTATTGTACTGTGTATGTGCATACTTGCCAACACGTCTAATTGCGTTTCAAATCACTCACCTAGAAGACTAACTAAGAACAAACATTGAGGGTTTTAAAATAATTTTTTAGTTGTATTAAAATAAATCTAATTTAAATATATTCCAGTCCAAAACATTTGAAGACATAACCCACAAAAGGTAAGTCCTTAATTTAATAACATTACAATCTAACAGGTTGCTAAAATTACAAGACTACAGCACTGGGAACAAATATATATTTTTAGCATTTATAGTACAAGCAGGTTTAGAAATCCAAAGCATAAATAATACAACATGTTTTCAAATGCCAAGACAACGGAGGACAACAAATTGAAATAAATTGGTAATTGACGTAGAAAAAAGCTGATCTATGTGTGATAATGATTCATCAAATATTTCCTTTAAATTGTTACATGATGAGATTGTTTGTGCAATGTATTGCTTACTCGCACATCAAATGCCAAAGGAAATAAAGGCAAGATATCCAAGCATAAAAAGTTCTGCATTCTCATCTCCAGATTTTGTTCCTGAGGATTGTAACCTTAAACTGTTGCTATGGTTTTAATTGGCGTTTAAGAGGCTTTTTATTTAAATAATGAAAAATCCTTGCCAAACAAAAAACGTACTTGTTGGGAAAATACTGAATGTGCTCTTCCAATATAAGAGCAGCACATGATAACAAAGGCCCTACGTAGCTGTGTACGTAACAGGATGTATGATTACCTAGAAAAACATCAGGACACACTGTTTTAGACATATGATAGCTAAGCTATGTGACAACGATTAACATGATGATTCAGCCTCTATGGAGATAGACATATGACTGTCATGTGTATTGCTTACGTGGGCCTTAGCTAATCTGAACTAAGCACAGACTACTGCTTTGAACCGGTATACAGTACATGCATCTTGTCACTGAATAACACCCTCTCTTGTAGCATGTGAAGGACACTGTTGTGGGAACTATTTGTCCCATGCAGCTCTGTATGTGATGACTACTTCCATTCTTGCAAGGATAATAAATACATGTATCCTGATATTGAAGCTCAAGCCGGTGACGAGTGATATTTTCCTAACGGTACTCACAGATAGTATCAAGCCATAACCGGTTAGAGGTCTCGCTGTTGACGGCGTTGCTGGCCACACAGCGGTACCAGCCGGTGTGGTTGCGGTTGACGTCGGTCACGTTGATGACGCCGGTGTTTCCCTGTGCAAAAGCTGAGATGTTGCCTCTCCGGGTCTCATGCTGCCACACATACCGAATCGGCCCAGTCCCATTTTCCAGATTACAGCTCATCCACATTGTAGATCCCTCCACTGGAGAGACATCGCTCATCAGGAGGTAAGGCTTACTTACAGGAACTGTATTCAAGACAAGGTCACAAACATGTTGATATTTTTACGGTCTCTCAAGAACATCTGCTTTCAGATTATATCTCTGAAGAAAGTGTTTAGGTCTTACCTCGGACAGTGAGGTGCACATAGTAGTAGTAGACTACCGGCTCCCCTGGCATGTCGTAGAAAGCCTGGCAGGTGTAGAGGCCATGTGCGGCCACTGGCAGCTGCTCGATGCTCACAGATGCACTGTTTGAGATGATGGAGAGCCGCCCCAGCGTCTCAGCCAGCTTCTGGATCCTCGGCCCTTTCCCCAAATCCAACACCACAGCTTTAATAGCTTCAGTCCCGGGCTTTGTGAAGCTCCAGATGTACACGTCAGGTAAGGTTGTACCGCACTCAAGGATCACCGCTTTGCCCAGAACACCATACACACTGGTATCCCGATACAAAACCTCCCAGTGTTCGTTAATTTTCACCTCTGTAGGAGAACAGGATACACAGACATGCAAACAAATGTGTTTTTGAGTGTGTTTAACTCATGTTGTGGGGACTTAAAGCTGTTATCTGTGAGGACTCGGCTTTCTTTTGGGGAGAAAATGCAAGTCCCTATGACGTAAATCAGGGTGAGACTTGGTTTAAGGTTAGGTTCAAAATGAAGGTTGGGTTTAGGATCAGGCAATTAGCAGTTATGGTTAGGGAAGAAATGAATGTAAGTCAATGTAATGTCCTCTGAGGTGATGGAAACATGACTGTGTGTGTGAAGGAAAAAGAGATGGGGGTGTCATTTGCCCTGTGAGTGTTCAGTTGCAGGATTGATTACACGTTCAGTTACACGGTAATAGTTCAATAAGGGGTTCATAAAAGTATTTTCCAGCCACATTCAATTGATCAACTGTCTTTTCTTTTGTATGCTCTTATCTTCCTCGATTACCTCCAAATTGAATTTCATTGCAGTGAACTTTTTGACATCACTATTTTCTCAGAGTAAGAGCCTGATTGATTAATTGTCAACGCCAATATATGTGTCTATAAGGGTATTGCATATGTATCAGTATCAGTGTATAGGTCAGCCAATATGTGACGAGACCTGACTGTACAAAGATTAGTTTGACCAAATGTAAACAATGTCGCTATAGTTTTTTCACCACACACATTTTAGATTACAACTGTGAAACTTCCCACTTTTTAAAAGCCTTGCTCACAAGTAGCCAATATATTTATTACTGTTTTGATATACATCTATAAAAAGTACAATATCAAATATGGACATTAAGCATCTTGTGCTGTACTCCAGTACAGTTGTATTAGTCTTAATAGCAGTTCTTCTCATATGTATCAAACACATACGTGTAAATGAATTCAAAGATATTGGAAAGTCCTTACCATATGTTGTGGAGGTGACCAGGCTTGCAGGTAGAAACAAAAAGGCCAGCCCTAGCAGTTGGGCCACCATGGTATCATGATGATCCTGAGTCAAATAACCTCTGTATTGCCAAATATGTAGCAGAGATGATGAAAAGGTGAAGCTTTCAGACCCTGAAAATCTACCATCGGGTTCCCTCGGATGCTAAAGGTCGCATCTTTTCCTCTCTCAGGTCCTGACGTTTTTGGGAGAATCCCGTTGCAGGCACTGACTTCAACAGACTGAGAGTAGGAAGGGACGGAGGGTTACTAAACTGATTTGGGCTCAATTATTCATGTATTTTTCCTTTCTCTCTATCCCTCTATCCTTCTTTCTTTCTCCTGCAGGGTTAGAATAACACGGTGATACGGAGCTCATCTATTATAGACACTTGGGTGGACAGGTTAGCCTTTCCCACACACAATTGCACTTAAGCACGCACCTGCACATTAACTAATAATAAGGTCCTAACATGAACATTCCTACTCACAGGCTGTCATGTTCATCTGGACTTAAATATAATTGTTTATATTTATGGTGTGCAAATGTTTGTTTTTCACCATGTTGATTCTGGTGCTGTTTTGCAAAAGTATGAATGCTGACCAATCTGTTGTTAAGATATTAACATCATCTTTTCAGCCAGCAGAGATTAAAAAGGGTTTATACCGTCTTACATTTTCCTTTGCCCGTTGTTTGTTCCAGTGCAAGTTTAAGAGAAAGCAGCGTAAACGATGTTGATTGGATAAGAATTCAAATAGATTTTGAAATCTGACATCTCGGCAATGGTCTGTGTTTCCTCACAATGACAGCCACCACGCTGCAGGCCGCCCTTTAAAGATGTGAAGATAATGAGATGCTTAACCTGCGCACACATACAAACATATACTAGGAAGAAATATTCACATTCAGTGTTTTAAAGAATCCTTATTTGAGTGATGTTTTATAAAAGAGAAAGAGGAGGTGGAGGAAATGTTAAGTGGAGCCATGAAATGTGAGACTTGCGTCATGAATGAATGAAGGACAGAGATCAGTTTACTCACTTGGCAGAGACCGAAATGCAGCAGGAACTAAACCGACACTGAGTCAGCCACATTTCAATGAAGTCTTAGTTCATCAGCCATATCCGCATCAAAAGAACACTGCGATCAAGTGAAATAACACAAACATAAGAAATATATTGCTCTTCCGTGTTAGAAGGCAGTGTGTAATCCTGATTAAATGTACTTTGAAACAAAAAACGTTGTTTACAGAACAAATTGAATAATTAGCCATTTCAGTTTTTTTTCTTCTCTTTCTTAACATTTTTTACATCCTTAATTGTTACCGACTTTTACATTTTCCTACTTGTAAAGCAGTAAAATAGCACGAGTTGTCAGACATGCATTTATATACTGCTTGGTTGAGAGCACTAGAGTAATGCTGATTGGTTTGCTGAAGAAAAGAAAAGGCAGGCAATATGTGAAACTTAGACATAACAAGCAACTTTCTTGTGCTCCAGAGGCAGCCGCAGCCATCTGGTGGTGAGGCAATACTCTCCTAAGAATTTGACTTTGAAGCTTTCTGGGCCACATTTAGCTGAAGAGAAAAGGATATGAAAAGAGGGAAGCTCGGGGATGCAGAGCTGGCTGCTGCTGAAGCTAAACTGAACATCAAGGCTGGAAAGTCTGTGAGCGCACCATGAGAGCTGGGCACTGTGGGTTTTTAGCTGCTCGGTTGCCTGGAGATTTGTGAATTTATTGTCTGAGATTTCATCAGCACACAAAGCTGCTTTAGCCTCAGAGCAGCATGGGACAGAAAATATAAATAATACCAGTTTTGATCCCCAAAACAAACATGCTCTCGATTGTTTTAAGCCAGTTGGGTGTACTTTAATGCCAGAGGGATGCAAATGAAGTTAATACAACTCTTAAACCTGCAGGAGCTGATTTGTGTATTGGCTTATGGGCAGCACAAAGAAGCTTTAATCCAAACCCTGACATATTATCTTCTTATAAAGTTGATATGGCTAACAGTGTGCATACAGTTGTCTATGTGTCCAGCAGGTGCATCATCCATATGTATTTCTGTCATGTATACCTGATTAATTTTAATTCAATATTCATTCTCATTTGTTTTGGTTTCCACCAACTGATGAAAATATCTGGCTCTCTGGTAAAGGCTCCACTATTTTTACTAACTGTGTCCATCTGTTTATTGAGCAGGTACTTTATATTTGGGTTTTAAAAGAGGACATATTCTGCTCATTTTCAAGGTCATCTGTATTTTGTTCCTCTCCTGCAGTGTTTCTCAAAGTGAGGGGCGCGCCCACCCTGGGGGGCGCAGAGGCATGACAGGGGGGGCGCGAGAGACCAGGAGGAAAAATGGATATGACCGGCAGAAGTTACACTTATTAAACTTATGAGGGTGCTGTAGGACACAGGTGTGTAATGTACATGTTGAGGATGGAAGGTCAATAGGTCTCTCAGTGTTTAGATTACCCACTGAGATTAGTTATCTCAGTGGGTCTCAAACGGTTTGGTCACGATTAATGTCAACAATTATTTCCGAGGCACACGTTTATATGATCATTATAGTTATAAAAGAAATAAGAGAATAAATGAAAAACAGGTATGAAATACTATATGACAGTAAAACAAGAATACAGTTTAAAAGGGGAGTGATTAGTAAAATATCCATAAAGAAAAATAAAATCTGTTTACAGTTCTGTTTCATATGGGTGTTGAGAGATGTATCCATAGATCTCTGAATGTTGCCCTCAAAGTGCACCAGATTGATGCTTTTAACTTCAATATTTAAAAAAAATCTTCCCGGACCCCCCTAGAGAATGTTAGGTCCACTCCCCACTTATAAAAATAGCACTTTACCCCTCCTATATGCCGTGAAACATCAAGCTACCCCACATCACCCCCAAAAGAAAATCTCTGGCGCCGCCACTGAGCCTGCAACCCCGTTGTGAAGAAATGTGCAGTGCCAGACAGGCTCATTGCAGCCACTAATGCTGATGAGACACACTTTTTTGCCAAATATCAGCATTTTCTTTCTTTCTTTTCATTTTTTTTTTCAAGTATTATAACTTATTGTTCTAGCAAAGGGATTGCACAATTGTATTATGTATTTCTTTTTTTGACCACACAAACTTATGGAGCATTGTTTTATTATCACTGTTCTAGTAAAGTGATTTTTTTTTAAAGGAATACTCACGTTCATATTGATGTATTTTAATAAATGTTAACTTGGCCCATTACGTGACTATTTGTGTTGGGGGGGGGCCCGACTTTTTTTTTTTCTCCAAACCTGACGGAAAAAGGTTTGAGAACCACTGCTCTACTGTGACATGTTTCCAGGCTTTAATGTTCAAAAGCTCTTTATTTTTCTCATACTGCCTGTGCTGCAGCACCTCTTTTCACCCTCTGTCTGAAACCAGAGCCCAGTCTGCTCTGATTGGTTAGCTAGCCAGCTCTGTTGTGATTGGTCAACCACTTAGAGATGTATTGCCCCTTGGCCTATTAGTACAATATGTGGGAGCGCCAGCCAATAGAAGTGAATGTGTTACATAGTGATGTAAATATGTTATGGAAGTAAACAAAGGACTACAATTGAGGTGTTTCAGGCAGGAGGGGGCGGTGTTGTGGTGCTTTGTAGATCATTTAAATGCACAACAAACCTATAAAACACTACAGCAAAGATAAAAACCCAAAAAGCATAATAGGGCCCCTTTAAAGATGTTTTCATTCAGCAGTAAGACTGAACCAGCTGTGCATGTGTTATGGGCCCCATAAAACTGTCCTTACAGCTGAGGGAAACAGCTGTATGACAGTTACACTGTGATACAGGTCACATTGATACAGGTATACATAATGATTTTTATTTAAATGCTAAAAATTCAAGGCTCATCCAACAACCAGTGTCAATGAATACTACAATGTACAGATACCACAAATAAAAACATACATTTCATATATCACAAAATGTTTTCAGTAAATAAAAATGTTTATAGTTTTTTTTTTCTTTCCAAGAAAAACATAAATAATACAAAATACAAGCACAATAAAAGTATTACATCATAAATACCTGAGGCCTGGTGTCCCTCAGTAAAAGGATTGTGTGTACAACGCAGGATAAACAGATTAAGTCAGAAATTGTATTTTCTTACAAAATGATACCATAGAGAGGATAAAGGGTGAACCACATCGGACATCAAAAGATCATCCTATTCATTCAGTTCAGAGTATTTTCCAATCAAATGTTATACATCCATGCAATATACACAAATGACAGTCATCTCTTATTTAACGTGACCTTCCTCTATCCTACACATCTGAAACATGGTTCAATAATCTTCCCTTTTTAATGAATAAAACACATAATACACACAACACAATAAAAGACCAACCGAAAGGGAAAAAAAGGTTCAAAATTGAACTGAATTCCAAGTCCAAAAAACAAATATGTATTGTCTTTTGACCTCCAGAGCCATCCACAATGAGGGATTGAGTGCAGGGACGCTGCCAGGGTTAAACAAATGGTCCTCCTCGTTGGAAAGGTTAGAGTTTAAATTGTGTCGTTTAATCTGGAGCTCACTTTGAGAGGTTTGAGTCTGTGCCAGCATCAGTTCAGACGTACTGCTCTTTGGGAAAAGTGTACGCCGCCACTCCCGGAGGAGGAGAAGACATGCCCGGTACAGGTGGGTATTTAAAGATGGCCATGGTGTGTGAAGGTGGAGAGAAGGTGTTTTTTGGCGTGCTGTTGCTGCTGCTGCTGGTGGCAGGGGTTGGTTGTGAGGAGGGGTAAGGGTGCTGGGGGAGAAATGAGAGAGGAGGCTTGATGGGAGGGGAGTAGGGCTCTGGGTAATCCTCCTTGTTGCAGGCCAGTCTGTAGCTCACATAGTCCGCTGTGTTGGGAAGCTCTTCGTAGAACCGCCCTGTGTGCTGTGGAGAAATGAGACACATTTGTTCAAACTCACATCCCCTTTTTCTATTTAAAAAATGTTCTTCTAAGAATCTACCTGTCTCAGTTCGAGTTAAAATGTGTATTTCTTATCTGTTTTTTAACACGTATAATTTTATTCTTTAATTCCTAGAATCAGAGTTTCCTGACCAAGTGCTACAGAGCAATGTGTAATGGATGGGAGTGCCCATTCCCTTTGAGTTCAGCATTGTTTGAAATTGGATAACATTATTTCTTAGATTTAATAGCTCCAATAAAACAAATTAATTGTACATTTTGTCGTGATAAATGATGTTATGACAGACACCTTAAATACATTCCTTCTTATACATTATGAACATATTACACAGCTTCCATTAATATCAACATAAACAGTAGTGTAATAAGAGTGCTGTGTATTTTCACACATCAGGGCTGATCTCCACAAAAAAACACATAGAATATGGCTACAATTATCATTAAAAATGACTCCAAAACAACTCTATATTTACTTCACAAATATGTTTTGTAAATAATGATTGGGATATCAGAGAGGTAAATGTCAATGAGAGACAGAAGATCTACTTGGGCTGTTGTTGTTTTTGTTTAAATGAGTGACTAGTTCAATTACACCTTTGTTATTGACACACAACAGGCCTTTTTCACAGCAGACATCTTAACATGCCATACTAGGGAAAGCACAGGTGTTGTTGATACCATTAAAAGTGTCTATTCAAGTGTCCCATAAAGGACTGATGGTGAGCCAGCCTGCACAATACCAGGACCCTCAAAGAGGAAGCTGCTAAATGGAATTCAGCCATCATTAATTTTATTATTAGCACTGCCTTTTCTGCTGTGACATGTCGAAATGTTTTCTGAGAAAAGAGCCTGAAAGTATAATGAGTTTGGTGACCTCACATGTTTGCAGCACGGATCTAATCAGTGGTCAGCCAAGAATGATTTAATCACCTTTGTCAGTGTACAGACTTCTGCACCTTTTTTTCTTCATAACTACAAAAAAATGTGCAAAAAATATTATATTATTATACAGGTTAGCAAGACACAAAAGGTTAAAATACCAGAAGGGAGTCTTAATTAATAAAATAACGGATTTGCACGGATTTAACCTGCACACTTCAGATAAAAAGAAAAGGTGCCATTTTAAAAGCAGCTGCAAAGACTGAAATGCATCCCTACCTATTATATTTCCAAGCATATAGGAAATATGTTGGTGCCCCTGTGCTAGTTTCACCTTTTTAAATTAGGTAATATGCAGATATTTGGGTAATAAAATGAGCCTCTGTTTAGGGCAAATGACCTTAATTGCCCTCAATCCAGTTCACAAAGATCAGTGCAACAGCAACACGCGGTAACACTGAGATTGTTAGCAGTTTTGCATTTTTAAAGGACACCACGCCCGGAGTATTAATGGAAAAGGTTTAAATCCCAAATACTCTCGGACAGGTTTTAATTTGTCTCCTGCTTCTACACCTCGTCGCTCAAAGTCTAAAAGCATGTATCTCTGCATTTGTTCTGCCTTCTTGGCACAAAGGCAACTTAAATAATGGATAATCGCAATCAGCTGCAAAACCTTATGGCTAGTTTCCGGAGTCCATTCTTTGTGATTTCACCCGTTTATATTTTAGATATATCCTCTGGGACCGTGTTCACAAAGGCTCTTATCTTTTCACTGGGAGTAATGGTAAATGGCCCTAAAAGCTATTTTTTAAAGCTTTTTTGGTCCCTTTACCATGTTTTTTTTTATGTCTACAGTGATTGGTTGTGGGTGAATGTGAACTAAAATATAAACACACAATAGCATGAGGAACAAATTAAATCATATGTGAGAAAGAACCATAAATATGGTTGTTTTCTGTAGTAGTAGCATTATGTATTATTATTATTATTATTATGATGAGCTACAAATGACTTTGGAATTGTAGGGCTTAGACAGCCTCAGCATGTCGGTGATAGCATTAATTTAATCGTTAACTTATTCTACAATTGCGATTTACTTTTAGAACTGCCAATGACTGGCTAAATAAATACCACTACAATTTTACGATATGTAGTGAAAATTCAATCTGGATTTAGGATCACTGGCTAGTCTGAACATGTGATATGTAAATTACAAACACAACATATGGTTACCTGGATGTCGTCTGCTGGTCTTTTCCTTATCGTCTGGGAAAGTTTTGTGGACGGAGAGTCATTTCTGAACCAAGAGAATAAAAGTTAGAAAATGAAGATCATAATAGAGGATAGATGTTGGGACAAAAAAGGGAGTGTTTCCTTACGAGGAGCTGCCTTTTTTACTTCTGATTTTGAGCACCAGCACTGTGATAGTAATGCCCATAAGCACTCCAGCAGCCAACAATAAGGCGACTACGCTGATGACATCACCCGTTGCTATCTGTGGTAAAGGCTTTTCTAAAATGAAAACAAACATACACACGTTATAAAACATTCCAGCAAACATGTTCCTTGTTCACAGAGGCATTGGAGCTATGAAATGAATCCAGACTCAATTAATGTACCTATAATGCTGACTTCCACAGAGCCTGATCGGGTCCCGATGCTGTTGGTTGCGTCACACACGTAGGTGCCCTGCAGGTCGTATGTGATCGGCCCCTTCAGGGTCAGGACGTTGTCTCGGATCTCAGCATTGCTCGGTATGGAGCCATTAACCCTGCAGAAAATACAAGAAATGTAAACGTCAACAAGAAGTTCACACAAGTTATGCATCTTAGAGTATCTTCCATCAATATTTTATATCCACTGAGTTCTTTCATTTAAAGATGCAGTGGCCTTAAAATGTTTTGAGCTTTGTTTGCTAATTGCATTGTGGAACTTCGATAGATGTATCCCATTACAACAAGAGAGAATTAACAAAACAGAAGCAGACAACAACCACATAGTAGGCTGACAGTTTGGGGGGAAAAGTGTGGGAAATGTAATTGCAATGAATCCATATGCATAAACAGTATACAGTATAGGGCTGCACGATATTTGAAAAAACTGACATTGCGATTTTTTTCCCCCCTGCGATATATATTGCGATATGAAAACATACAGGCAATTGAAGAGAAATACCGTTTTCTTTTCCCCGCAAACCATCCTTTCTTGAACTTTAATGCTATACAATTGGTATTTTTTTAACTATATTTAACCGGATGAAGGATTTTAGTCACGGACGTCTGGACATTTTGGATTTTTTTTTTTTAAATCGCACGTCCACGTGATGTGAATATCGCGCATATCGCGATTATCGCCACGACACGATATATCGTGCAGCCCTAATACAGTATGACAATGAATTATAAGAACATATTTGCTATTTCTCACTGTATCACAATTAGAGAATCTACATAGTTACTGCAAAAATAACAACTGACGACCTGGTTCACCTGTATACTTGTTGACACTTAAGGAAAACATTTTATAATCGGAAGTATAAAACAAAGTCTCAGGGAAGAAAGTACTCTCCAATATAATTAATATATATTTATATTTTCTGACCCATTTTCAGTGAACATCAATTCACAGACACAACACAACCTCCATGATACATTGTAATAGAGCGTTTTAACTTTGACAGTAATTCATAGTGAAACACAAACAGCTGTACTCACAGTCTCCACTGATACAGAGAGACGGTCGGGTTGGCATCGGCTTGGCAGCTCAGCTGGACGTTCTCTCGGTTCAGGTACCAGTTTCCATCATACCCATCCACCACAACATCTGGCTCATCTGGTACGAACAAATAACAGAAAATGATATTGTAATTGTGTTGATATTTGACCGGAGCTTATTGTTATGTGTGTAAAAGACTTACACTGAATATCGAGGGTGACACTGTCAGTGAAGACCTCATCGTTGTAGGAGGTGACGCAGGTGAGCGTCTCCTTGTGTGTGTCTTTGCTGGGCACCAAAATATATTCACTCTGAACAGTAAACGTCCCGTCGGAGTTCCTGTACTCCCGGTTGGTCACTTCCCCCGGCACCCTAGTCTCCCATCTGCTCACATTAATAAGGAATTAGGGTCACGACACAGAGATACATCGATAATTTGTAGTTAAGTTGGATTTAAAGGTCACCTATTATGTAAAATCCACTTTGTATGTCTTTTATACATAAACATGTGTCCGTTTCAGGAAAAAATATTCGCTCACTTTTTGTCCTGATCCATTTATATAAAAACCTGTCTGAAAATTAGCTGATCAGATTTTGGCCACTTTATGATGTCATAACGATTTTTTGGCTTGTGTAACCATTAGCCTTAGGGGCGTGGGGAGTGGCTCCTTATTTTCATCTAAAGCAGGGGTCTCCAACACGTTGATCGCGAGCTACCGGTAGCTCGCGGGCAGCTTTTCAGTAGCTCGCCGCTCGCAGTTCACAGACTGTGTAGAAAAATCAGACGACAATAAATGCACCTAAATCAGTCCGTGTTGCTGCGGCTCAGACACACATGGATTTACTGTATGTTTTAAAAAATACTCGCGTTAGCACCTTGTCAGGTTTTTTGTGGATTTAATCAAGTCTTGGATTGCAGAGTATGAACGTCCTCTTGCTATTTTCAGAGGATAAATACGTGTGTAAAGTTTGTGAAGGCAGGAGGAAAGCTTCTGCGATCACCGTCTCCTCTCTGTTCCTCCAAACCCCGCCCTCCCTGAAAATAATGAGTGACAGGCTGATATTAACCTGATAGAAACTTTATTATTCACTTAAACATATGTTGATCTCTGATTGAGATATGATAAAGCTAAGTCAATCTCATACATTCATGGGATTTATGTAACAGTAAGACAGAGAATGTAAGTTTGCACACATGCAGTATTTTTGTTTTTATATGCTGTTGTAAATACTCCTGTTGTCTGCTGTGTTCAGACTCAAGTCATGTTTGTGATACCACATTCAGGACATTCAGTGTCCTTTTTTTTTTAACAGAAGACCGTTGCTAGAAGCTGCAGCTAGACTGTAAAAGCATTCGTTTTTTGTTTTTCAGGATGGAACAATTTCACACACAGATATAGGGAGGCTAGACCTATACAATTGATTTATTATGGTTTATCATTTAATGTCAAGACGAAGAAGAAGATGGCTGAACTGTTCAGTATCAATCCTGTGGAGGTAGAGGTTATAAATCTCCAAAATCATGTTCAGCTTAAGTCTCAGCAAAACTCACAACATTTCTGGAGCCTTGTAGACCCAGAAAACTATAAGAACATCACCAAGCAGCATTGAAAATGTCTGCTTTATTTGGCTCTACATACCTTTGTGAAGCAGCTTTTTCTGACATGAATGTCATGAAATCTAAATACAGAACAAGACTGACTGATGAACATTTAAATGACTCTATTAGATTGAACCTATGTGGGTCCAGCATACACCTGTATGGTGGACTCCATGCAGTGCCAGTCATCTCACTAACTGTAAAAAAAGTGAATCCACTTATTTTACACATGTGCCATAAGATGTTAGTAAGGTGGTGATTAAGGCGATGTATTTACTATATGGGCCATAATAATAAGTGAGAAATTGTAGTTTTCTTGGACCTTGATGTGAAGTTAAGATTTTTGATAAGCTTTGGGTATTGCAATTTCACACGTGTACCAAAGTAGCTTTATAGAGTGCCACAGTGACGCGTCCTAAAAACCCGGAAGTAAGCTTCTTCCGGTTCCTGCGACAAAAACCAATGCAATTTCTCCATAGGGTTTTGGAAAATAGCTCGAAATAAGGTCTGTGGTTGACACACATTTAAGAGACAGATCATGTTTTGTTCAGTCGGATAATCTCCACATGTCTACCCTACTTTTATAATTTTCGAATCATAAATCTATCGATTAGATTTATGATTCGAAGGAACCGGAAGGAGTTTACTTCCGGGTTTTAGGACGCGTCACTGTGGCACTCTATTTAACTGATGAGTGCTATGTGAATAAATGTAAGCGATGTGATGCAAGTAGCTCTTTTTTCAAAGTAGCTCTCAGAGGAAGAAAGGTTGGAGACCCCTGATCTAAAGTAACAGACAGAGAATCAGCACTTTTGAAACAGGGCTGAAACAGAGGGGATTATGGGATGCTGCAATGATCTGTTTGGTATTTCGAGACATGTTTTGTATATATCTGAGAACTATAATATATTGATGAAAAACAATATAATAGGGGACCTTTAAACAGCTCTTAATCGGAGAAATGAAGAAGTCGTTAATGAGGGTAAACAAGCTCAGTGGTTATATACACTTAAAAGTATTACCAAACACACATCGCACACAAACACACACACACACACACACACACACACACACACACACACACACACACACACACACACACACACACACACACACACACACACACACACACACACACACACACACACACACACACACACACACACACACACACACACACACACACACACACACACACACACACACACCTGATGGTACCGGCTGGTTTTCCGTTGGCACAGGTGCAGGTGGCCACTGGTGTTTTTAGATTGGTGGAACGAGCCACCAGTGTCGGCGTTGACAGACTCATCTGAGTAGTTGGGCGAACTGAGGGAAGTAAAATAAACACAAGCATTAAGTTGATGTAGCATGAGAATATGTTTTATAAAATTAATGAGAATTAAGTTTATCTCACAACAGCATATTGAATGGCCTGACAGGTAAAAGCTTTAACTTTGACGTTGTTTGGAAACGCAGACTAATGTTCTATTCATACAAATGTCAAATTACGTATGTGGTGTGTTCCTGCATTTGGTAGTATCTGAATTTTGTGTACGCAGGAATGCCCAGATGTATACTAGAATAGCAAGTATTAAAGTCTATGAAACGTGAGCTTATTTACTCAACTGCATACTGCATTGCATCTCGGTGCCTTTGGGTGGCCATCAATCATGTGAGTTTTGAGACAGTCTAAACACTGGTAATCTGTGACTTTCTTAAGTTTGAATTGTTTTTTGGAACATTTAAATTCCCGATATGTGGTCAGTATAATAAGGCATGGATAAGGTCTGTTTGATAATTACTGAAATGTATGTTTTCGATGATGTGAGGGTGTCACAGTGAGACGTCCTACAGACTTATAGTCTATATAGACATATATGATATCTACAGTGCTGGATTTGTCAGATAGACAGATATTAATCATTTGTTAACATAATCTATTTTACAAAATCCATTTGCACACTACAAAGGAGTTTTGAAAATCCATGAAAATAATGGAATGGAATAACATCAAAATCATGATTTCTGCATTAGAAAACTGCATATTTATATAACAAATAAAATTGTTATTTAAAATAAAAAATGTCTAAATCAACGAGGGATACTTTATGTTTCAATGCCTTAAAGGGGTAGACATTTCGGAAAAGATGCCACTGTCATGCACAATGCTTGATATGAATCTGCATATAGTACATGGTAATATTAATTTAGCATTAAGACTGAAATCAAGTGGAAACTGCTGGTCCTGTTCAGTCAAAATGTAAAAACAATAGCCTACAAACACCTCTAAAACTGGTCTTGATTGTTTATCAGTACAGTTTGAAATTGAAAAAGGTTTTAAATGGTGATTTGGATTATGTGCATTCACATTAAACACCCATCAGATATATCTAAGATTAACGGTCTACCTGTATCTCACTGTAGGATCAGCTCCTCTTACCGTACACAGTGAGGTTTACAGTGTTTTCTCTGTTTCCTGCAGGGAACGTGGTGTATTCACAGATGTAGGAGGACTCGTCGGAGAGGCGGAGCGTGGAGAAGGTGATGGTGGTGTCTTCCAGAGACGGAGTCCGCCTCCTCACTGCTCCGTTCTTGAATGTGACTCGGTCCCTGAAGGGCGGGGCCACGGACACGCCCAGCGAGGGGTTGGCGATGGCCACGTTCTGCTTCGTGCCATTCACCAGCTTCTGCCACGTTACCTTGAGGAAAAAGGATCAGAGAAATTAAGAAGTCCTTAATGAGGGTAAGTGAAGACAACCTCTGATATGAATCACAGACAAATTCAACAGTAACATTAGTTATGTATTATTGAGAAGGCAGTGGTTTAAGTCCATAAAGAACTGCTCATATTTCAAAAGCAAACCACACCTTTTTTAGAATGTTTTTCTATCACACAGGCAGCCAGGGGTTTTCCTTCATGGCATTACTGGATCAATTTCAAACTTGCTTGTATTGTTTTTAGGCGGTGACTGAAGTATTGGCTTTCCTAGGTTTTATGGTCTTACTGAAATTATAACTATTTCCTGGAAAATGCGTTCTTTTGCCGGTCCTGAAAACATTTAATTGGCTAAAATATGCTAAAATCCACAAGTTCACGAATGAGTACCTGTGATATTTTGACGGGCGGGGAGCTGTTGATGAACCAACAGCGGAGATCCACCTTTGAGCCAATATACCCCCACCTCCCATCATCCATTTGCACACTCTGGCCATTCATTCCTGGAGGAGAAACACAAAAATACATTTTTTAAGAGGTGTTTGTGCATGTAAATGGTCTGCAAAGGCCAAATTCCCAAAGTTCCCTCCAGAGGGAGCTTCTCTCCAACACACTCCCCTGCCTGAAACGCCTCAATTGGACTTTCACAACATAGTGACGTCACTATTGAACTCACAAGCTGCTTTTGGCTTGGGCTCCAACACATTGTACGTGACACATTGTACATTGTACGTGTTTGACCACTCACAACAGAGCCGGCCAGCTAACCAATCAGAGCAGACTGGGCTCTGGTTTCAGACAGAGGGTGAAAGGAGGTGCTGCTGTATGAGAAAAATAAAGAACTTTTTTTTTATTAAAGCATGTAAACATGTAGAGGCACAAAATACAAATTTGAACCTGAAAATGAGCAGAATATGTCTTTCACACACAAATGCACATTTTGTTGGCAGCATCAGACTGGCACTCTCTAAGCTGTTCACAGTCAGCACAGCACGGTTGAGCTGATAAAGTGCGCTGAGCTGTCAAAGACACTACATTTCAGCAGCGTGAGAGGTGAGCTGAGGTCGGAGGTCATAGATTAGAGTGAGGTATAAATAAGCACGATTGTGGTTACTGTTACCACTGCCTTACTGATCCCTTTTAACAAATCCAGAGCATCAACACCCACTTTCTGGAGTAAACACGTGCGTTTGTCAGATTTACTGTCATTCACATCAGGATTCCACTAGTAGGTTATAAAGAATACATCTACTGTGTTTCACTATGCAGGATGAATAACAACATAATACTGAACAATACAGCTCAGAACAATGGATGCTCTCATTCTCATACATACATGAATATACACACACACACACACACACACACACACACACACACACACACACACACACACACACACACACACACACACACACACACACACACACACACACACACACACACACACACACACACACACACACACACACACACACACACACACAAAAACCTTTTAGGTCACCAGTCATCTCTGATTAAAATATAAAATGTCTTGCCTTCAATATGTCTTTGTTACTTCGGTCTTTTTTATAAAGTAATCCTTTTATTTTGTATAGTTAATCCATTTAAAACCCCTCTCCCTCTAGGCTTTGCAGCCACCAAATAAGATATGCAGTATAACACATGGATATGCATCCAGTCATTCAAACTGCTGCCAGTTAACTTGTAGTTTAGAAAGTTTTTAAAGTATATCAAAGCTATTAAAGTATTCTCGTTATATGTATTTGAAATGAAAAATATTACTTTTGAATGCAGTCTTTTATCACTAAATTTGGAACCTGTATAATACTGGCTAATAGTGCCAAAGTAAACGTTTTGCAAGTTATAAACACACAGTTTTTTCACCAAGAAGATGATCATGTGAGCTCTGTTTTCCTCCCAAGATTCATTTGGCTTCATAATAAATGTTCATATGAACAACTATTACACAGAAGCAGTAATTGGCTAAATTAGATCTAAGACTCCCTTCATGACCCTAAAGTAGGCATCTTGTTAGAGTCACACAACAGAAGGTGGAAAACACTCTGTTGCAAATAAAGAGTAATGTATGTGTGACGAAGCGGCACAAATGTCATGGAAAATATGTAGTAAGAGCATAGCTTGGGTTTAGTCAGAAAAATAAAATGTTTCTTCAGATGGTTACTTACAACTTTCTCAAATTAGACAACTGCAAATAATGCTAAGTGAATACAGACTGAATTAAACAGTGTGAACGTAAGCCACACCCAGGGGCGATTTCCATGTTTGACATATTGTACATAAAGCAACAACATATAGACAGAGGGCAATAGTTCAGGGTTCATCACATAATTCAATATTATTATATTAATAATGGAGGGGTATTGATTAGTATTGATCAGTCCATTAGTGTTTATCTTGTGTTTTTCCCAAAGGCAGCTGTTAACTCCAGGCTGTTAACCAGAGGGAATGATTTAACCTATCAACAGTATTATTTTGGCATCCCAATATTTTTGTCAGAGCTGTGGAAGAGCTTTTTTAGCAGACAGTATACCAGTAGAAAATGAATGATGTATTTATGTAACATATAAATAATGTTTTTTGTGGAAATGTCTTTTGAACTTTAATTGACATGGACTGAACTCAAGCAGAAGAGGGGTCAGTGCCCTCTTTCTTTCTGACATGTTAAACCTCTAACTCTGTAGACACAATCTGTCCATTGTTTTTTTCTTGTTCTCTTGACTCTAATCATGGAGTGCAATGTGTTACATCAACAGGTTTGAGAGTGCTCGCAAAATGCCATTAAAACAATCGTATTAATGTTTAAATGACTTCACCGGCACTAGCCTGATTGCATTGTGGGTAATGTAGTTGCCAGGTGTTGAAAAAGAGAGTAGTAAAAAATATGTTTCTGGTTCTGCTGCATCCATTTTTTTTAAACCGTTAATGAGTCTTACAATACTATAGGAGAGCTACAGTAAATGCTAAATCGGTGGAGTACTCTGTTTAATTTGGATGACTTGTAACAAGCCCTGACAACGCCATAAACCCGTGTTTCCCCAGTCACAATCCATTAGATCTGTCCGTAACAACCAGCCGTCACTCTCCTGATAGGCTTAGACCAAGCTTAATGTGTGGCGTGACCCAGGGGTCAATTATGGGTGTCTGTGTACCTGCTGCTATATCTCTCGCCGAATCCCTATTAGACTAGAATACAAATCAGAACAGATTTAAAAAATGTTTTGCTGAACAAATATATAAAACCTTAAATAAAGCTGCTGCCTTAACTGTACACAAAATTACTCAAAATTGACGTAAGATCATTTTTAAATCGGATGTCAAAAATCTTGCCATAAAGTCAGACCTCTCTTTAAATTTTGAGCATCCTGGGAATTCATTGCTGCAGTCCGGTTTCTTCTTTCCAGTATATACAAATTACAACATATTTGCAAACCTAAGAATTAGCAAAAAGCCATTCATGCTTTTATTAGATCTCAACTAGTCCAGAACTCCAAGACTTTTAACTGAACCAAGACATATACAATTGGGGTTTCTTTTCCCAGACATATTTCTACATTAATAATCGATTCAACCAGAGGGATAGAGAGAACAACTTTAATTGTATGTGTACAGTTTAATTGTCTGTGGCAGATCCCTAAAACACGTCTTTATGTTAAGAGACCTGTCGACCTACTAAGGGGAAGTCTTCAGCCCTAATGTTAGAAATGGCATGATGACAAACAAAATCCTTTAAAAAACGAGGTGAATAAAGGTCAACCACAGACTGAGCCTTAGCGAGGAAACGGAAAGTCCATCAGCTTTGAAATACAGGAGACTTAAGTTCTTTGCTTACAGATAGATTCACACAGTTTAACCTTCCATAAACCAGCAGAAATCAACAAATCTCTCACAAGAATAAGACCCTGTGATATTCAAACTGCAGGTTGGCTTTGCAACCACCTACAACGTTTGAGAAATGTTAATGATTATCTGGCTTCATAGGTAACTTTGAGATATTTAATCAGCATCTCACAAGATCACAAGAATTGAAATTCAACTTATGGCAGACGGAGTTAAAAAAAATGCACAAATAAGCAGAGAAAAGGCATAGCATGTTAGTGCTAGTTTTCCATCACCTGAAATATAAAAATATGAAAACAAAGCTTCTATTATATTATGATGATTAAAGAGTGTATTAATACTCTACTTAAATAGATTTGTTTGGCTTTTCTTATAATATAAACCTGCACAAAAATAATTTAATATGCAAAACTGTATTTGTTACATGTGTGCATGCAATTCTATGCATGCAAACATGAACGCTAAAGCTCAGCCTATCTGCACGGCTGCAACCAATCACATAATGTCAAATACAATCCGAGTCAGACATGTGTTTTGTTGTATTAATCAGTGTAATATTTTTGTATTAGGAGTTCACTGCCCTTTACTTTATGAAAACATTGTGTGTTCTTAGGGGGTCGTTGGGAGGGAAAAGGCCAACAGTGGGAGTAGATTGCAGAATTCAAGATATTAAAGTGCTTCTGCTTCATAGTCCATTTGCTGCTGTACATATGAACAGCTGTTTTTCTGAAGCATGATTCAGAGTATACCACAACGCCACAGAATTTACTTCATGTGATTCATGTTTAATTCAGTTTTAAGAAAGTTTCTGTCATAACTTCAGGTTTGGTTTTATCAGGTTTAGCCTTTCATAAAATGTGTAATCCACAACAACAATTGTCAACTTGGCAACATTTGCTGATCCAATCTAATATGTAATATCTATACCAAAAAATATATTTAAATGCATCTGTTTATGTCTCATTCAATCAGTAACATTTCCCAGTTAAACAAATATCCCAATTAACCTTTTATTGTAACACTTTCACCACCCACAAGTTTCTTGTGTTTACAACGCACCATTTTATCCATTTGGTGGCAAGAAATTGCCAGTAAATTTAACACAAGTGTTACATTATATGTTCCCAAAAAACAAAGCCTATGCAGAGTAAATGTATATAGTAAAGTAAATGTTAGACATAATACGTTTGGATGCAGAAGACGTCTGTAGCTCTGCAACTGGATGGTCCATGGGGAATTTCTGAAGCTTAATTTTCCCATAATTATAACACTTTCATTACTGAAACAGCTGATGGATGCAATGTATGCTATCTACTGAATAGTTTACAAGTTTTGGGAAATAGGCTGATACTATCACGCTAGCACTGTGATCTAGCTGTCAACAAGAAAACAAATATGCCATATTTCCCAAAACTATTCCTTTAACACTGTTCCTTTGAAGGAGGTCTCCGGTGCCGTTTTTCAACCTTCTATGCATAGTTAATATGGACAAAAATAAAAGGTACAATAATACAAAAGCTTCAATTCACTCCATAGTTTCTATCTGCTTTATGTCAGGACGATAACATACCTTTTACTAGTGTCCCCCCTACTGAGCTCTGATGCTGAGCTGATTAGGGGCTTTAGGCGAAGGCAGAGCAGAGCCTACCTCTCTGACACACACACACACACACACACACACACACACACACACACACACACACACACACACACACACACACACACACACACACACACACACACACACACACACACACACACACACACACACACACACACACACACACACACACACAAACAAACACATCTCTACCACCTTCCTATTTTCTGCTGTGTCCATTCACATTCTTCTATTGTTTAAACTATGGGAAATGACCTCACCATCCTGCATGACAATAATCTATAAACAGCAGCACACTGGCAAAAGAAAACCATGGGAACATCACCAAACAAAAGCATTATTGTTTCAAACTTGAATGTGCAACATGCTAAAACAGCAAGAGCATCTCAGTGTTGTGCTGGCCTTTTGTTCATATCCTGAATGGGTATCCTCCATCTTTCATCATTACTCCCATTATGTTACAAGCCATTATGTTACTCATTATGTGTGAGAGTTCAACAGAGGCATGGTTTACCGTGGGGTTAATGGCGTTAACAGATAGGGCTAACAATATTAAAGATATAACATAAAACACATTTTAATTTAACCTTTATCTATGCAGGAATGCCTTGTAACAGATTAAGGAAATCAGTTTTTTCAGAGTTTTCTAGCCAGAATAATGTAATAATTTAAAAGGTTTCACACACTGAATGGTACCTTCAAACAACTCAAAATCTGTATAAAACTAACAGGCCACCCTATGACAATGCTTAATTGCTGATGTTAAGCAACTATAATGTTAACTATTACAATAGCTCATATAGTTGCTCATTAGCACAAAAACAATGTACCGCTGAGGCTTCTGGGAATGTCGTTTGTTTTGCAGGTGTTGTTTTGCAGGTGTTGTCAAATGTATTATGCATTCAAATGTTTAACCTGATTGTGTCACTATAAGGTACAGTACACTGTTGGTCACCAACATCCTGAGGGGACCTGAATGGGTGCACCAAATGTCATGGAAATAAGTAGTAATATAATAGTTAAGACATATCAGTGAAAGCCAAAAATGTTGATCTCAGGGTAGTTCAAGGGTTATCGGATCGGAAAGAAATGAAATATTTAAGTCAGAAACCCAGGACACAGACCCCAGCATAGAAGAACGTTACAATCCAAAATGTTATTCCTGTCTAAAACTATGAGTCTAATACATTTACCCCAAAATCTGCAGCCATAAATGGCAAAATATTTGAGCAGAATTATAGTAAACAAAAATATACTCTTGATACATTTTACCAGGGATACCTAAAGCAGTAAATGTTGCACGTAAGATGGATAAAAAAAGGGATTTAAACCAAAACCACTGTGAGTTTATTACAGTCCAGAGTGTTTCGGCCAAATTGAATAGAAACGAGGGAAATAAAGCAGATAAAAGATCACAGAGCCAACTGGTCTGCCACACTGGCATCAAGTCAGTATTTCAGGTATTAAAAATCATGTGTTCTAAGACTTAAAACATGATGCTGACATCATTATCTGCAGCGAAGTCACGTCAAACTGCAATGTGAAAAGGCTGATACAACAACATGTATCTTCAGCTAACAGAAGGTTACAGATACTGAAAACTGACCTCATGCGACAGACGAGAAAATGAAAAAGCAGAGACACAGGCAGATTAACTGTTTAATCTTTAGGCCATCAAATCTGTGATTGATCGGGGATTACACACTGTGTTTGAGTCTTTGGCCTTGTGATTTACGATGTGGGGAAACCTGAAGCACAGTGAAGACCAGTTGACGAACACAATACTCAGACGAGGGTTAGGGGCAGTCTGAAAGTTCGTCTGGCATGTAATATGACGTAAATCTGACTCTTTATTGCTCTAAACCAAAAGGTTGCCGTGTGCCAGAAGAAGAACAACTGTACCACCAATGGAAACTGACTTTTGGACATCCACTTTACCAAATGATGTGTGCTCCTCTCGATGTACCATTCTTCTCACATTTTTCACAAAATCAATTATAATCTCTCATTGTTTTTGATTGGGATCTGTGTGCACGTGCATGGATTCGTGTGGGTTTGTAATCTCGGTAGCGCTGTAGAAACGTGGAGTGTGCACTTGGCCGGTGTTCAGCGGGCAGCTCACAGGATTATGGTGACTGTAGCTGTGGCGTCTGTGTTTTTTGGGACATCAGAGAAAAAAGAAAAAACCCTCAGGGAGAGAGGAAATGGAGGCAAATAGAAAAACAATTCTGTGGAGGAAATATCAACTGATTGAGAGACAATAAAAGAGGGGAAAAAAGTTTTAAATAAGCCCATGATGAAGAGGGAGATGCACAAAAAAGAGGCAAACAAAAAAGGACAGAAGGGCTGTGCTGGATTGTTTCGGCGGGGTAGCGTCTGTGTGTTCCAGCTGTGGACAGTGGATTACGCAAAAGTTCAAGAGGATGCCTATCTGTCAGTCTCAATCAGCCTTTTCTGTGCCTCCCTGCAGTGGAAAACTGCAATCTTACTAGTGGAAACATATCAGTGGTTGCCTGTGAGCGCACTGGCATCCACCTGCTGGCTGACAGAGTGCAGCTAGGGGAGGACAGACACACAGAGCAACAGTCTGCAGCCTGGGACTTGGCAGCGATCATGTTATTTTACCCTTCCTGCTCCCAGTGCAGCTGTAATCCACCGCTCCATCCTTTAAATTCACAATCCTACACATGGTGTGGCCTCACAATCAGTAACAACACATGCACACACACATACTGTGTTCACACCAGCAAATTACTGCTCAACTTAGCAAAGGGGGGGGTTGACCAACACTGACCGAGTGAAAAAAGCAATCACAGCAGATGTCTCTGCAGCTAAATACATCCTTATGCTGCCACAATCGCTTTTGTCATTACGTCATATCTATACCACCCCCCCTTTTGATTGAGCTGTGATTACACAGCTGCACCTGTTACAATGAGGCAATAATTAGTCCATTCTTTCAGACACACACACACACACACACACACACACACACACACACACACACACACACACACACACACACACACACACACACACACACACACACACACACACACACACACACACACACACACACACACACACACACACACACACACAGCCACATCTTAGTGTGAAGGCGAGTTTAATTGAACAGTGTAGTGCTGACTGATGAATGCAGGAGCCAGTTAACATTGGTCTGATTTCACCTTTGCACAGAACCGGAGAAATAATCGTATAGTTTCACAATACGTTATATTTGCATAAGAAGATGAGGTCAATAAAGTTGGATGACCATAAAATCCGATCAGTAATTTGCTGAATGGAGCAAAATAGACTAAGCTGTGCAGCAACAAATTATTACATCAAAATTGTGAAAATATATAATGAGAATCAATATCATTTTAAATAATCATGAAGCAATCATCAAATACCTTTTATATTGGGTTTAAAATGTGTTGTTTTATTAAAACTAGTAAATCAGTAACTGATCCTATAAACTCTTGGCTTTTAAGATGTCAACATTACAATTAGGCGACCCTTAGGTGCTATTATTTATGGCTACAGTATAACAGATAAAACAACAGTAAATGATTTATCAACAATTATTTATCATATATATATATACTGATTATCTAAAAGTGGTAACCTTTTCTTAGTTTCACTGCCTGTACTTAAATATAATTGGTGACAATAGTAGGTTTTGATAAGTATTATATATGTAATGTACACTGTGTATTCACAAGAAAACAAATAATTTAATAAAAAATAAAAGCCTGAAAAGAAATTCTAACTGTGATTACCCTACGTTTCAACCAATTATGATATGACAATGAATTAATCAACGTTTTTCTACTTTTTTACCTCATCGCTGTCTGTAGCCTGACTTTTATTATATGTGAGAGAGAAATCCATCACATCTTTCACTTGTATTCACATCACCAGTGTGTCATCACTATTATTAAAAGTGCTGAAAGAAGCAAAGCCGCATACCTGGAATAACACAAGTTGTTATCAGGAATATCCAAAATCCAGTGCAGTCCATGCCCGAACCACCGTTGCCAGCTTCTCGTTGTGGTTAAATTCCCAGTGTGCACTTGTTTTACGGCTCCTGCCTACCGGTCTGAACCCAAGGCAGCAGGTTTCAGCTGCAGGTCTGCCCGCTGGGTGCAGCCAAGTCTGCGTATGCGCAGACACACTTCGCAAAAAATAAATCTCAAACTTAACTCCCGACACTTTTTTCTTTTACGCGCTGAGATTTGGACTTGCCTGTGAGTAGTACCGGAGCTGCAGCAGTGTCTGCCCGGCTGAGGCTTGGCGGGGATAAAGCAGCTTAACGCGTGGGCAGATTACTTCCGAGATAGCCTCCCCTTCAGAGCCCCGAGCGACAACTCTCTGTCACTGTGTGAGGGTTGGACACCGCTAGTGTGCACAGTTAAAGAAAGGCGCAGTCAGGCTATTTTAAATGAGCAGACTCAATAGAAGCAATGAGGTCTCCCATACAGGGACGTAAACACAGGAAGAAGCTCCCAGGGACTGCTGCCCCCCCCCCCCCCCCCCCCCCCCCCCAATGAATATGAATGGGTAACCGAGCCTCGGTCAGGACAACAAAACTTTTGATAACTCCTGATCTCACATTACTTAGGTTTTCTCCTGATTTGATCATTTGTGCACACTCATTTGCCTTCTGATTGGTGCTTTTTACTTATAATATCCTATATTTTGCCCCCTCTCCTTTTGTAGAGGGCAGTGAACGCTTTTTTGCACTATATATTCAGTCGATTAGAAATACGAAAAATTCATTTATGAGTGCTCCACATTATAGGTCTAACAGTCAATCGATATCATATATTGATTCAATGATCACCAATCCAATATCATCAGTGAGAAAACATCGATATATCTCGCAGGACGCTTCTGGCACTTCTCGCTGATGTTGTTGAGTGTGCTGAGAAATAGAGGTGGCATAGTTTGGGAGTAGAAATTTGTAGCTGTGTGTAGTGGTGCAGTGTGTGTACAGTTAATTGTTGGTGAATAAATACTTCTACCAGGCTAAACTCCCGTGTCTTGCTGGCAACCTGCTGATTAAAGTGAAAGGGGCTGGGATTAGCCCCCAAGCTCGCAACAACAACAACCCAAGCTCACTTTAAAGGGGACCTATCATGCAAAATGCACTTTTGTACGTCTTTTATACATGAATATGTGTCCCCGGTGTTCCAGGGAACTCACCAAATGTCAGAAAACACAACCCTCTCTATTTTCCTCCATACCCAAATCTCTAAAAAAGGGGCTGCAACGGATCTGATAAAAACTGATCCAGATTTGAACACTGTCCTGACATCAGGACGGTGGCGCTACGGCTATTGGGCCAACTCTCCACCTATCAGGGGAATGTGGGGTTGGGCCACGGCCGGCCATTGCCGCTCGAAAGCGCTGGAGACGCTGTAGTACATATGCCAAGCCTGTAAGTGGCACTGTAGTCTGCCACAAAAGCAGCGAAGAAGACTTCCCGCCCATAGTTACCATGGTTACCCTTCTGTTTATTCTCCGCTGTGGCTTTTTTTCTCCCTCCCCGAGGCAAGCGTTTGCTCCCGCTGCAAACGCTTGCGGGGAGGGATTGCTCAATGCAATCGAGGCAAGCACTGTAATTCTCTCCGGTTAGTCCACCAGCAGATGACAAACACCCACCTCTCCGCCTCTTCCAAGGAACGAGGGGACCGTGCGGCAGAGTTTCAGTTTCAGTTACTTTTGCCGGTCAAGATGTCAGTTAAAGTTTAAATCTTCCGGACAAAATTAGAAAAGTGCCGGTCAAAGGTCTTCTTTGTTATTTATTGAGCTTTAAAACAAATGAATAACGACTCTATATAATAAAACACGGAGGACGGAGATCTCTTTTTCTCCCCCTCTTCTGACAGCCCAGCAGCTGATCAGAGCAGGGCTCACCTCTCCTGCAGGGCGGCGTGGTCAGCAGAATCAGACCCGTAGACAGCAAACAGCACATAGAGCGAAATGAGGCATGGCTAAAATGCATGATCTGTTTGGTATTTTGAAAACAGAAACGTATAAATATACCTTATATAGGTATGGCCCTACAATATATCATTTAAATATAGCATGATAGGTCCACTTTAAGGTGGGATAACTTTTAAGGTTGACCAGCTATTCTCAGAAATAATGAGGTCTGCTGTGCTTTATTAAAATGAAAATATGTCTGAAAGATATGAATAATAAAATGGTCTAATCATATTTTAGATGCTATATTTGATAATAATGTTATTAATTATGCCAAATGGGAATGTGATATATTCCCATATCGCTCGCAGGTCACTGAATCAAAGTCTATCACAACGCTGAAGTTGGCTTCCGGTTCAGAGCGTGCGATTCGGCAGTTAAGGGGAAAGTTAAGGGACATTTAATTTACAGCGCTGAACGAACAATCCTCCATGTTTTTACCTCTTAAATCGCTGCATAGCCGATTTATCTGGACTGGATTATCCCAGAGAGTCTAAACATTCTTTATAACACAGTTTTAAATGTGTGAAACCTTAAAGGGGACCTATCATGCAAAATGCACTTTTGTACGTCTTTTATACATGAATATGTGTCCCCGGTGTTCCAGGGAACTCACCAAGTGTCAGAAAACACAACCCTCTCTATTTTCCTCCATACCCAAATCTCTAAAAAAGGGGCTGCAACGGATCTGATAAAAACTGATCCAGATTTGAACACTGTCCTGACGTCAGGACAGTGGCGCTACGGCTATTGGGCCAACTCCACCAATCAGGAGGAGACAGCCACGGCCATTGCCGTTCGAAAGCGCTGGAGACGCTGTAGTACATATGCCAGGCCTGTAGGTGGTGCTGTTCTCACAGAATCAGCCCTTTCAAAAACAGGGGTAAAAAAGTGCAAATTGAGCGAAATGAGGCATGGCTAAAATGCATGATCTGTTTGGTATTTTGAAAAAAAAAAAGTATAGATATGCCTTATATAGGTATGGTCCTACACTACTGTATATTATTAAAATATAGCATGATAGGTCCACTTTAATTCTACTTGTGAAAATGCAACTGAGGGAAATGAGATTTTTCAACATTTTTATTGAGAAAGTCACTGCAGAAGTCCACGTCTCTCCATTTCATTTCTCGTCTGCATTATCATGTCTTCTTTTTCACTTCAAAACAAAAGTAGAAAATAAATTATGGTTAACATGGTAATGCACTCTTGAAATTGTTGTTTCAAAAGAAAATTACTGTTTTTCTTTCACTTTTCCTCTAACTGGCCACACTCGATCTCTCCTAGTGCTTCTGCCAGTTGCATACCTCCGACTTTATCCAGAGCTGTTATGGCCTGTGTTAGAAGAACCATAATTCAGCCATTAGTGTGCTTGTTCTTAATTTGAGCTATATACTAAGACATTTTCATAAAAAGCTTTCTGTCAATTCTTTGTCTCATTTATCAACATATAAATAACTTTCATTTATCTGCCACTAACACCTGCCATCATTTCAGACCCTGCTCTTCCTCTCCTTCCCACCATTTGCCCTCATCGTGTTCCTACTCTATGGATAATGGGGTAATGAGGATCATGTCTGCAGGCAGTTGCGTGGTCAGGGGACTGGTATAGTCTAGATTGTGGTTTTAGATCAGGACCTGGTCTAATGTGGTCTAAATGCGAAAAAAGCACTGAAATCTCCCTTTTTTGTATTTTCACAAATAGAATAAAGGTTTCACAAATCTAAAACTGTGTTATAAATAATGTTTAGACTCTCTGGGATAAATAAATCGGCTATGCAGCGATTTAAGAGGTACAAACACGGAGGATTGTTCGCTCAGCGCTGTAAATTAAATGTCCCTTAACTTTCCCCTTAACTGCCGAATCAGAAGCTCTGAATCGGAAGCCAACTTCAGCGTCGTAGTCCTATCAGGGGTAGACTTTGTGATATTATCATCTTGTTGTCCAAAGCATCAATATAATATTGTATTGTGACCAAACTTTGGATTTACACCTCTACTCCACATCCCCGAAGCAGATGTTTTAGGAAGTGCCGTGGATAAGCTACTAGGTAAAATGTGTTAAATGTGTTTAAGGTATCCCAAAAAGAACACAATGTTGTGTTTAACCCAAAAACCCAAAGATAAGTATACCTATTTATCTCAGCCCAAAATCTCAATCAAACCATCTCTGATCAAAGCGATTCAAATGAGAGTGTGAAGAGTACGCAAGATAAAACTAATGGCTTAAAGGTGATAAGCTATGGTAAAGCCACTTTAGACCTTTGGGGCTCATGGACGTACAGCATAAGATTAGCTAATGTGCTTAAATATCCAGCAATGTATATGTATAAGAGTTCAACAGTTACATACACTGAATCTATTTGTGAAAAGACATAACAGCAAAGCGGTAAGGGCAAATAGCCTGCATGTCCAGTTTATTCGAAGAGGAGGCAACCGCGGTAGAAAGGAGAGAAATGACAGAAATCGAGACTTAACATACTTGGTGTGGGAGGGAAGAGTCGGAGGCCGTGTCTGAATGTGCCTGAAGATGAAAGAGAAATATTTAATGTGGGCAGCACCATGAAATGTCTGTCTCTGATAAGTTAAAGAGAAATGTGTTCCAGCAGGCATTTATTTCCAAACAAACATTTTGCTATTGCAAAATAGCTGCATGTATTTCAACCGCATTCATATATAATTTATATATCTGTGGGAGAACGAGATATGCAATCTAATTACAGGATGCCTTCAAACTGTTTTAATCAACAAAAAAATTACTAATCATATTTAAATAGTAATGTAATTATTTGGCTGAGTTTTGTTTCACCGACATTGTAAAGAAGAAGGGATAACAGTCATTAAGCCTTTTGTCAATAACCAATAATATAAGTTCACTGTGCAACTCCTCATCTGTCTTGATGTTCTTTACATTTTAATAGTATTAAAACTCTGACTTTCCTTTTCTTGTCTGGGTTTTCTGTTTACCAGGTTCAGGTGAAATACACGTCAGGGAGTTGTTTTCCTGCCTTCTGCACAGAGCATGCTTCGAGCAGCCCAGTGATCTGTGATTGTGAAGTAAGTAAAAGAAGTACATTTTCTTAAGTTTACCTTAAAGGTCACCTATTATGCAAAATCCACTTTTTCATGTCTTTTCTACATCAACATGTGTCCCCTTTGTGAAAAGAAATTCTGAAAGTTTCAG